GTAAGTGACTTGTTCAGGATCACACAGCAATGGGTGATAAAACTGGATCTATAGTCCTAGGCCTTTGGCTTTCTATCCATTATGGGTTGAACTGTGTCCCTAGAAAGGTATGTTGAAGTCATAGCCCCTGGAGCCCGTGAATATGATCTTACCTGGAAACAGAATGTTTGTGGATGTAATCAAGTTGAGATGAGGTCATTAGGATGGACCCTAATTCAATATGACTGGTTTCCTATAAGAGGAGGGAGATGTGGACCGAGCCACACACACAGAGGAAAGATGGCCATGTGAAGATGAGACAGAGATCAGAGTTTTGCAGTCCCGGGCAGAGGAACACCTATACGAAGCCGCTCCAGGCTGGAGGACGCAAGCAAGGTAGGGTCCTCCTTTGAGGCTTCAGAGAGAGGGTAGCCTCGCCCACTCCTGGAATGCACACTTCCAAGCTCCAGAACTATAAAAGCACACGTTTCTGTTGTTCGGAGTCATCAGTTTACGGTACGTGGTCACAGTAGCCCCTAGGAAAGCGACACGCCATCCAAGAGCATTTCTGAAGCAAGGACTGGGTGAAATTCTGGATGCAAATGGAGTTCCTTGGAAGCTAATGAGAGATGGCTCAGTTATGGGTGTAGGACTTTAGAAGACCTGGCAGGTTATGTGCTGTGTACAAGTCCTCTCTGGGGAAAGACCCACCACTCTGTGCCTCCTCTTATCCTGAGACATGCCCTCCTCCATCAAAGCCCAACGATACGGGCTCCTTATCCATTTTTAAACTTTCATTTATGAGTTGATGTAAAATCAGAGGGACTTTTCCTCTAAATCCTTCTCTAAGCTGCCCAGCATAACACTGGTCATTTGCTTTTAAGTGGCCTTCCCATCTGAGGAATTTCAAGGCACTTACCAAACTCTGTGACCCATGGGGAGTGTCCTCTGGGGTTAGGAATTTCTGGTTTACATCTGCCCTCTGACCTCACCCTGTCCCAATGACTCCATTAAACGGAGTCATTTAGTTCAGTGCATTCAGTAAAGATAAGAGCTAGTATAAAAAAATACCGTGGCTCGGGCTTAGGGCTGACTGTGGGTTATGGGTTTGGGGAAGTGGATGCTTTGCAATTAACCTTCATTGTCTATCCTAATTCTCAAGAGATGGAGATTATGAGCTGGCAGTTTTCTGAGAATCCATTGGCCAAATCCTTGAGTCTGTAACAATATTGCTTACAAGGCATCAGTTGGTGGTTTGCCTCCAAGGATGGCTGTGTTCATAACCTAAAACCCAACAAAACCAATCCAAGAGAACCCTTAAGCCCGCTACATTCTGTTACATTCTGTTAACTTCACACATTGGCTGAGGTTGGTTGTCCAAACCCAATTCTCTTGATTGCATAACTGTGGGAGTGACTGTCCTAATAAACATGTTCTATTTTCTTGCCCCACTGCTCTTCTCTGAAGCTTCTTGTTTACTATGGAATTGCTAGGAATCTAAACACGTCAAGGGACAGTTTTCCCTGCCCCTCAAGGCATGAATTCAACTAAGTGGAACCATACCTTTGCTTTCTTCCCAAATCCACGGGCGGAACCAATTTAAACCTCATGATCATGCAACGCATAGACGGAAACTCCCCTGTGTTGTTTTCATGTTTCTCCCGAGGACATAATGTTCTTGCCTGAGTTTTATCTACCAAAGACAGGCCCCGCTCTCCAAGGACTATTGGCCTAAGCATTGGCCACTGCTTAAATCGATTATGGTACCCCTATGCAGCCACAGAAAGTCATGCTTTGGAAGCAAATTTAATGACATGGGGAAACATTTATGGCCTTCTATTAAGTGGAAAAGGCTGCTTACAAAACAGAGTGTACAGTATGAAAGCAATTATGTAAAAATTATGTATATATCCATAGAAAATCTGAAAAGCTATGTTCCAAAACGTAAACACTGATGAAATACTCAGGGCTGTGAATGTGCAGGGGCTATTTGTGCAAAAGGGCATCCACTTGAGAGAACAGCAGTGGTGGACCTCTTGGCAGAGAGCTGTGCCTACTGAGAAGGTCCGTCTTTTTTTTTTTTTTTTTTATGTTTTTATTTATTTCTGAGACAGACAGAGACAGAGCATGAGCAGGGGAGGGGCAGAGAGTGAGGGAGACACAGAATCCGAAGCGGGCTCCAGGCTCCAAGCTGTCAGCACAGAGCCCGACGCAGGGCTCGAACTCACGAGCTGTGAGATCATGACCCGAGCCAAAGTCAGACGCCCAACCGACTGAGCCACCCAGGTGCCCCGGTCCGTCTTTTTCTAATCATGCCCGGCACCAGATAGATTGGCAGCAGCCTCTGGGATGATGAATGAGTCTAAGTTTTCTTCTATGTGCTTTTTCATATTTTGCAAGAGCTCCTCCATGAGTATGTGCTACTTTTGTGCCAAGTTCAAAAGCTGTAATTCATCCAATGTTTAGGAGATAATTGTTGGAAATATGAGCGCTGACTGCATATTTGACGATATTACAGAATTATCTTTAAGTATGCTAGTAATATTGTTGCTATACTTTTAAAAGACTCATTAGCTTTTAGAAATGCAAACTGAAATGTATGTAGATGACATAACGTGATGTCTGAGTTTATTTCAAAATAATATGGGAAGTAGTTAAGTGGGTAGGAGTAGAACATAAAAAAATGTCGTGAATTATTCATTGTTAAAGCTGAGTGCTGGGTATATGGGGCATTGTAATACTATTCCATTTTAGTATATGGTTTAAATTGCTGTAATACAAAGTTTAAATAAAACCGGAAAACTAGTGTGGGTCATGTGGCTGAGAGTGACCTGAAGTTTTCTGTATCTTTGCTTCTGATACAATGGTGCAAGTCCGCAGGCTTCCTGCGTGTGTCTTCCCATAAGGGGAGCGGGGGCAGGGGTATGGCGGCTAGTGGGGGTACAATGCCAGTGAGGCCAAGAAGGAAAGCAGCAGGACACATGTCATCTAACCACTTCTGCCAAAACTGCCTGGATTTGGCAAAGTAGTGACACTGTCACCATCCCAACTGAAGACAGGCAAATAGGTTCCATAAGCTGGATTCCCAAGCAGCTTTACAACAGCTGTCACATGTTTAATGGGCTTAATTGTGCAAAGGTTGGCAACCAACAAGTCTTTGTCTCCGCTGAGGGAAAATAAGAGGGAAAAGGATTAATTTACAGTGGAAGAAACTGGATTTAGCTGCATGGACAAACTAAGTACTAGTAAGAAAATGTTAAATACCCATAGGGCTATTGTATGATCTAAGAATGATTTCAGCGGCCACAAAAGATTTGTCATTAGTTAACAAGTAGTCAACATTTACTCCCAGGGTTGGTTCTGCAGCCAATAATGATATCAAGAAGCCAGGTGCCTTGTTCCTTGTTTCTGTCTTTGTTTTTTTTAAGCAGACTTTTTTTTTTTTCTTTAACAGTGGGCTTGTTGCCTCATGGTTACAAGATGGCTGCAGGACCTCCAGACATCACAGTCTTATGTGAGCATGTCTTATGTGAGCAGAAGGAGGAGAACAAAAAAAATAATAAAATAAAATAAAATAAAATAAAATAAAATAAAATAAAATAAATCTCCTGTGTAGCTTGCTCTTTTCTTTCTTTCTTTCTTTCTTTCTTTCTTTCTTTCTTTCTTTCTTTCTTCCTTCCTTCCTCTCTCTCTCTCTTTCTTTCTTTCTCTCTCCCTCTTTTTCTCTTTCTCCCCTCCTCCCTTCCTTCCTTCTTCCCTCCCTCCCTTCCTTCCTTCCTCCCTTTCTCTCTTTCTTCCTTTCCCAGAAAGGAAAACTCTTGCCTTTGTATCTTACTGGATGGTACTTTGTTGCCTGGTCACCTCCAGCTCCAAGGGGACTAGGAAAATGTGTATCTGGCTCTTTAAGGCCCAACAGGAAAGATGCAAAGGACTGAGAGTGGCTGGGTGCAGCCCACCAACAGTGGCTCCTGTCACTTGGAGAAAGAAGGTGTGGAGACCTCAAGGCTATCCCCTGGAGGGAGAGGACACCACAGGAGGAACAGTGGCTCCCATAGTTACGGAAGAGAGCTACATAGAGTATCTTTCCTCATTACTGAAGCAGTTTTTACTCATTCTGGGAAAACTGAACAAATGCAGGAAACTGCCTATAACTACATCACCCGAAGAAATGCACTGATAACATTTTAGTGTCAGGAATAGCTTCTAATGGAGCTGGATCTCCTAAGCCAAGTAGAGACAGACAGAGGGTCTTCAACCGAGGCCTTCCGGGTCTGTGCTAGATCTGTGAGTCGAGGTACAAGGTTCCGTCTTGACTCCTTACACTCCTCAGGAACGGAGAGAGGGGACGCGGCTAGTTTATCAGTTACGTATTGCTGCACAATGAGCCACCCAAAACTTGGTCACTTTAACAACTCTTCATTATTGCCATGATGCTGTGGGTCAGGAATCTGGGCAGGGCTCAGCGCGAGTACTCGAAGAACCTGTCACAGTACTCATCATGTCACAGAGGCTCAACAGTGGTGTTGTTACGGTTCATTCCACACGCACCACTATTCCAAAGGTTTTGCAACGCCCTAGGAGGCCCCACATGCTCTGTCAGCCCGCTTTGGTTTCTCTGTTACTTCCTTGTCCTTGTCGCTCCCTAGTCCCCTTCCTCTGACCCCTCCTGCACCCCTTCCCTGATAGCGGGTCATTCCCTAGGCCCACCGTCCTGCCCCTGGATGTTCACACAGCAGACTTCCCATATCCTTTAAGACTTCCTCAGACACTACTTTTCCATGGAATCTACTCTTACCATCTGTATTCATGCCCTAGGACTACCAATTACCACAACCTGGGTGGCTTAAAGACAGCAGACGTCTATTTTCGAACAGTTTGTGGGGCCAGAAGCCCCATGTCAAGATGCTGACAGGCCCACACTTCCTCCACAGGCCCTAGGGGAGGATCCTTCTTTGTCTCTTCCAGCCTCTGGTGGCTGCAAGCATTCCTTGGCTCGGGGTCGCCGGCTTCTGCTTGTGGACTCTTTACCTGTCTACGTGTCTCATACTTCTCTCTGCCTTTTCCTGTCCTCCTAAGGACATCTGTCATTGGATTTATGCCACTGGAGAATCCAGGACGATCTTATCCCAAGACTTGTGATGGGTAACTTTCTGCATCAACTTGACTGGGCTCAGGGAGGCTCGGGGAGCTGGTAAACCATCACTTCTGGGTGCGTCCACGAGGTTGTATCTGGAAGAGAGCAGCACTTGAACTGGAGGACTGAATAAAGCAGACGGCCCTCCCCAACACAGGCAGGCATCATCCAATCCACTGAAAGCCTGAATAGAACAAAACTGCAGAGAAAGGCAGATTTGCTCTCTCTCTACTTGAGCTGACACATCCGGCTTCTGCCCTTGAACTCTGGTACTTCAGTGCCTAGGATTCTGGACATACACCAGGCTTTACACCATCAGCCCCTTGATTTTCAGGCCTTTGGACTCAGACTGAATTACACTCCCAGCTTTCCTGGTTCTCCAGCTCGTGGAGAGTGATTATGGAACTTCTTGGCGTTTATAACTGCGTAAACCAATTCCTACAATAAATCTACTCTCCTGTCTATCTGTCTGTCTGTCTCTCTATCTATCCATCTATCCTACAGGTTCTATTTCTCTGGAGAATCCTCATACAAGACCCTTAACTGAATTACAGCTGCAAATATGGTCACTTTTTTACCAAATATGGTCACTTTCACAGATTCCAGGGGTTAGGGCTCAGACATACCTCTGGGGACCATTATTCTACACACCATACCACCCTATTTAATAATTACAAAATTAGAGGTGCCTGGGTGACTCAGTTGGTTAAGCATCTGACTTCGGCTCAGGTCATGATCTCGCGGTTCATGGGTTCAAGCCCCACATTGGGCTCTGTGCTGACAGCTTGGAGCCTGGAGCCTGATTCAGATTCTGTGTCTCCCTCTTTCTCTGCCCCTCCCCTGCTCATGCTCTGCCTCTCTCTCCTTCAAAAATAAACATTAAAAAAAATTTTTTTAGGGGTGCCTGGGTGGCTCAGTCAGTAAAGCGTCCAACTTCGGCTCCGGTAATGATCTCGTGGTTTGTGAGTTCTAGCCCCACGTTGGGCTCTGTGCTGACAGCTCAGATCCTGGAGCCTGCTTCACATTCTGTGTCTCTGCCCCTCCCATGCTCATGCTCTGCCTTCTCTGTCTCTCAATAATAAATAAATGTTATAAAAAAAATTTTTTTTAAACAATTACAAAATTGTGTCTACACACATGTGGTCCTCCTGATGCGCCTTCCCGGTTTTTATGTTCCAGCGTACTTGAAACCTTCTAACATACTATATCACTTGCTTATGGATAGCTTTATGGTTCTTCTCCCCTTGCACTGGAATGTAATCTCCCACTAGAGTGAAAGTTTTGTTCATTGATGTAACCCACGAATCTAGGCCTACAGTAATGTTTGGCACACAGTAGGGGCTCACTAAACACTTAACTGAATAAATGAACGAATGAGTGCCACATGTTATGGTGAACCAGTGGCCGACATAGCTACTGGCATCCAGGCAGGAGTCAATAAACTCCTGTCGAATGAAATGAGAGTAAACAGTCGTGAACCTGCCGTTAGGAGAACCCTGGTAGGTCCTATCTGGAAAAGCAGAGCTACTCCCTTCCCAAGCTTACTTATCTAGTTTTTGATGTCTTTTCCTCCTCATATTTCCAAACTCTGTGCTGCCCACTTTAGGAGCAGTGATTCCGTCCTGGTGATTCAATGTTAAAACAGTTCCTGAGCTGGGTGAGCTGAAAATTACTCCTTCCAAATTCGAAAAGGTTACACTTCCAGAGAATAAATTCTGGTCTCCTAATAAGGTATAATTAATCACACCAATGAGCATATTGACCAAAAATAGTTTCCAAACAGCAACTTAATGCCAGATAATTATAAATCAGAGGGTTTGATAAATCCAAGGTACTGTTAGATGAAGCACTGATGACCCAAGGGAGCAAATCAAATATTCCGTGGAAAGATAAAAATGGGAATGTGTTGTGTGCCTGCTTTCCAGAATGCAGCCGCCCTGGGCAACCCACTCATGCTTACTCTCACTGTCCTCTATAAGCTACTCTGGGATGCACTCATTTCTTTATTTCCTGAAATGATGACCTTTAAAACTAAAAAAAATAAAATTACTGACTGCTAAGAATGCAGTGTGGGAGTTTGGGTTTTTGGTTGTTTCATCTTATTTCAATTTGGCTTGGGTTTGGTTTTTTGGGTTTTTTTTTTTTCCGCCTTCTATAGAGTTCACAGCACAACTGAAATCTTTAAATAAAAGTTTATTTCTTATTTTTAATAAAGGAGTAGGAAATGTTTTGAAGGATGTTTAGAAAATTTGGATGAGCAAAAGGAAGAAGGTAGGGTTTTGTGTGTTGTTTGTTTTGGTTTTTTGGTGTTTTTGGTCCTGAGATCCAGAGTCACATGCTCTATGGAGTGTGCCCATAGGCGCCCCAGGCACCCCAGGAAGAAAGTGTTTTAATTGCCTATAACCCCACTGCCCCGGGACATCTGCGGACATCTCGCACACTGTGTCCCATCTCCACCTTTTTGCATCTCATGACCTCCCTCACGTCCTGCCCATCTCACTCTGTTCCCATGTTTTAGCTGTGTTTATTATGGTGATTTAAAGGTGACACGTGCCACAGCAAGCAAACAAACCAGTGACGCCCCGCTGACCCTCCTACCCTTTCTCTCATGCTGTGTCCTCAACTCCTGGGGCCGCTCCTGCGGGAGAAGCCATCTTCTGCTTGCATTTGTCTTGCAAGCATTAAATCACAAGCCTCCAGTAAGGGTGGGGTGGCTCAGGGTGGGAACTGCACCCTGGAAGACACTCTGGCTCTAGGCCTGTCTCAGAAGTACTGTGGGTATTTAGCTGCAACGATCAAATAATGAAAAGAATAAAATCCAGCCATCATCCATCGTTACTGACTGCCTACCCATGCCGGTGTTCACATTATCTATTGCTGGCTGGCGGGTTATCCTTTTGAGTTTCTCATGGTTGCCAGCGGACCGTGGCTGGGCCTGGCGTCGTCCAAAGGCGCATCTGGGCTGAACCACCAAATGCTCCCTCACGTAGCAGGTGACATGGTGCTCCACGGACTCTCCTTCCCTCTTCATGTAGTGTTTTACCCTCTAGGCCTTCTCCACTTGCCTGGGGCTTTGCAAGGCATGGTGTCCACAGGGTACTTGCGCTTCTCACGTGGCAACTGGCCTCAAAGTGGAAAGCAGAACGTGGAAAGCTGGGCCGGGTGAAGGCCATACCTAGAACCGGTACTGGGTCACTTCTGCCACGTTCTAGGAGTGAAAGCTGTCACCAGGCCTACCCAGATTCCAAGAGGCAGAGAAATAGACCCTACCTCTTGTGGCAGGCCGCCCTGCAAAAGGGGATGTGGGATGGGAAATATTGTTGCCGACATCTTTGGAAACTACGGTCTGCCACAGCTGAGCCCTGCGTATGACCAGAGTATAGCCCTCAGTCCTTAGAGCTAGCATCCAGTAGGCAAGGAAGACACGAAACAAATAACCACGCAAGGAAATACCTATTTCCACAGTGAAAAGTTACAAGGGAAAGGAACAATGAGAGAGGTGTTTGGCCAAGGAGTGTCTCACTAAAAATGGAGCACATCGACCGAGACCCCAATGATGAGGAGGAACTCTCCAGGGCAGTATCATCCTAAGCAGAAGGAACAGTGTGTGGGAAGTAAGAGTAGGGTTAAAGTGTAGGGGGCCAGAGGAAGATGGGTGCAAAGTGAGGTTGAAAAGGTAAGCCAGGGATAGGCTGTGTATGGCCCGACAAGCCTCATTGAATAATCCAGGATTTTTTTTTCTTGGTACAAAAGAAAAAGGTTAGGCTTGTTTAGGTTAGGCTCAGCTATAAATAACAGAAACCCAAAATAATAACTCTATTAAACCAGGCACAAATATACCTTTCTCTCACATGTGCTAAGTTTTGTGTAATCCATCAGAGGCAAGGATGCCTGTCCATAGTTTCAGAGACTAGCACCTTCTGTCTTCCATGGGCCAACCACAGAACACAGTTTACCCCACCTCATGGTTCAAAAAGGCTGCTTGAACCCCAGCCGTCACGTCCACATGGCAGCGGGCAGAAAGGAGGAAGGAAGATATGTTTTCTCCCTTTCAGGATACGCATCATTTCCACCAACTCTCATTGGCCAGAACTTAGTCACTTAATCATGTAGCCAAACTTGTCTGTTAGGGAGACTGGAGAATGGAGGGCGTCTATGTGCCTTGTTAAAATTAGATACTTTATTATAAAGGAGGACAGAAAGAGTGGATAAACAGCAGCCTCTGCTATAGTGCTGGAAGACTTTAAGGAAGGGAATCTTTCTTACATTGCCAAGATGTGTTATAACATAGGACACTGGCTTCATTGTCAAAGGTCCTAAGTTCCAGTGCCCCTCCAACACACATAACTGTTCTCTGGGTGACCTTGAGAATTTTCTTAACTTCTCTGGGCCTTCGATTCTCCATTTGCAAAAGGGAGGCTATCTTGCCCGCGTCCTAAAAGTATTATGTTAACTAATGAGGCCATGATAATAAAAGGGCTTAGCGGGAATAGAAGTCATCATTTTTACGGAGGATGTTAATTTTATCCATTCTGTGAACTATTTAAAGATTTGGAAATAAACAGCGCTCTGTCTTTCTGATGTTCATCCTGTAACCTGGCAACCAGTAAGAAATTTTTAAGCGCACAGAAGTGGAATGATGCTCACTGCCCTGGCGTGGACAGAAGTAGGCTTCCTCAGAAATGCCAAAGTTAAACTGACCTGTGTCCTGAGCAGAGAGCGGTCATGAGCCTTTGGTCTCAGAGTTCAGATTTCCGAAATAAATGACCAGAATGTGGTTTCCAGTAAAGCCGGACGTGTTCATACGTCACATAGAGAGAAGCAGGATTTAGGATGAGTCGGTCTCTAAATTCTGGATTAGAGGCAAAGTAGAGACAGAACTGGAGCCCATTTGTTCTTGTTCTGAAAAGCTCCCTCTACCAAATAATACAGTAAGATTAGCTATTGTTTATGAACTGCCTACTAAGCTAAGCAGCAGACTCCAGGCTAAGCTCTTTAAATAATTCTCATTCATCACTCAACAGTCCAAAGAGGCGGGTACCAATCACGCCTCCATTTTCCAGATGAGAAACTGGGGTCTAGGAGGCCACAGTTA